TATATTATCTTAGGTTTACATGCCTGAACGTAATAAATGAGGACACTTACTTTATGATAATTATACAGTGCCATCCATTACCTTATTTTTGTCAGGGTTTAATTCAAGTTTTAAACAACAATAATGAGATATTTATAAGAACGTTATTATGAGGAAAAATATTGTAGCCAGCCGCGACTCGCCTGTCCATGTTCCCGGGCTGGGTGTGGAACAGTGGCCAAATACTATTGCCGCTATTCCCACCTCATCACCTCACATTGATTTTTACAACACTGATAAACATATTACAAGGTGGACAAGTCGCATTCTATCCAATAATTCATTCTGAATTTTTTATCATTTAATATTTTTTTTTCAAGATCGAAAGTGGCAAGAGGTTGAAATGATCAAGCACGGTAGTGGCAAGAGGTAACAGTCTACTTCAGTGTATTGGTGGTGAGCTGGCCGCGCCCCCTCCTCTCTGATGTTGTCATATTAGGAGCTTTCCCTCACGGAAGCCAGACGCCTTATCAATCCTAATGACACATTACCTGCCAAAGGCTCACTCGCATTCCTCCCCAGAATCTCAAGGCATAGATAACTAAGGGAAAGTTAAGTCCATCTTACACCTCCCCGGACACTTTCCCTCCTGGTTGGTTAGTTAATTGGGCTGTAGGCCTATCAACTGCCAGGGTCATTAAGGCCGTCAATGTCAAGCTATATCTACCATCCTTAACATCATCAGGTGTTAAGGATAATTCTAAGACCACATACACTCTCACTATATACTGTATGTGGCCCTTAACTTGGGCCCTCCTACCTTACGGCTCCACCATCCTCAGCTCTCCCCCTATCAATACACCCCCCACCTTCATTTGACCCGTCGTGTAGAAAGATCTTAAGCTTGCCGGTATAACAGTAGGAGGGATGAATGATTTCTTTTTATCACGACTCAACAATCCATCCACTGGTAAACTTTGGCCCACGCATGGTGTTACCATTTCCAGGAAAGTGAACAAGTTTGTCAGGCAGGATTTCATCTTCAAGAAACCGTGATGTGATACGTTGTTAGTATATGACTGTGATCGGTCGAGTGTTGGATAATGGCGTCCTTCAATAATTTTTTCAAAGAGTTTGCATACTTGTTATGTTAGGCTGATTGACTCGTAACTTGTCTGCTGTACTGTTTATGTCCTTTTTGTATACTGGGGTGAAGTTGGCTGGTTTCCCGCCCCTAAGCACTTTTCCTTGATCCAAACATTTCCTAACTAGGAGGCTTAAGTGGAGTGCAAATCGTGTTTGCCACCTCCTTTATTTCCTTGGTCTTTGCTACGTCCACTCAAGGTTTATAAATTCTTTCAAGATAGTTCATTTTATTTTGATAATGTAAGTAATTGCTATATCTTTTAATTAATTTTCAACCCCCGAGGTACTGGCATGTTATCCATCGTCTCCTGTAACGAAAACCGATGCAAAGTAATCACTCAAGGCATCTGCTGCCTGTTTATCACCCTTTTCGGCCTTTAAAGGACAAACAGTATCTTTTTTTGTTTTCATTTTGCTCCTGGCATATGCATAAAATGACTCGGGATCTTCCGTAACCTTTTCACTACGGGGACGCAACTTTTAATGTTTTACTGAAGGCCAAATGATTTTATTTAGCACAGAGCGATAATATTTCATCTCGAGGCGCCGTTTACCCGATCTAATTTCCTGATGGTAGACCTTGCTGCCATGTGGCATCACAAAAATTGTAACCAAGTCCCAGGTTGATGATCTGACTTTCTGCCTCATTTACACACAATTGCAGGGTCTCAATTGTTTCTCTTACTTTGACAACACAACATACATAATGTATATCGTTTCTCACTCTTGATTCAGTTTTTCGTTTTTATATTTATGGTTATTATTATTTTGTTTAATAATTTTTATCTATTGTCATTAATTATTATTATTATTATATTTTCGCCCCCCAGGATCTGAGGTGGGTCAGTGACCTGTGCTCGGGTGGGCTAATCCCCGTAAACAAAAAAAAGTCCGCAAGGTGTTTTGTGCTTCAGAATTTCTTCTACACTGATATTTTCTTTTACTGGATTTCCTGGATTTATGTTTCATCCACTTGGCCTTATTCCCTCTTCCTTGTTTTCCGGAGTATACATTCATCTACCAAGGTCTGCCTCCTCTTTAACTCTCTGTTGTATGTCTCTCGTGAGTTGGTAATCTCCATGGTTGAAGTCATAGTATACTGTACGATTACGTTTATATTACTTTGTTAGTGTTTTCTAAAGATTTTCATATATGATGGATAATAAGATAGCTACCCCTTTACTTCGTACTCCTTAATGCATCAGCAAACCAAAGAAAATAAAATTAACATGGGTGACATAGATAGATAGACACATTTATAGTCGGTATCATACTCCTAGATGGAGCAGGTATATATTGTACACAATTAACACAAGTATATAATATGTATCAACACTGCATGAATACACTGTTAATGATACTGTTGTAACTCTCATATCTCTCACGAATTGTCAACGGTTCGAGCCTTGGCCTAGACATACATTAGAAGGGTATTTATCCAGTGTTACCCTACCAAACTGTCTAAATATCACAGGTTTCCTGACTTACGGTTTCCACCTGTACAAAATCTGGATAGACCAACCGCCCGAACGGGTAGTAAGCTGACATTTTGCAGAAGGAATCCAAAAAAAAAAAAAATTAGATAATTCTAAAATTTAAATGCATGTCACTTGCAATTTTTCGAACACATTTGAAGGCAAGTAAAGAACAATTATTATTATCGGACAAACCTGTATCTTTATGACCCATCACACTCACATCAAGTAGAAATGACCTAAATATATATATATATATATATATATATATATATATATATATATATATATATATATATATATATATATATATATATATATGAGAAAACTTCTATCTTGTGTGAAGTGATCCCACCAAATATGTCCCAAACGTCATCATCCTCCGTTACTTCCACATCCCATTATCTACCCTCACTCGTGGTTGTTCGGAGGTAAGTCAGTTTATAGTCGTCTTAGAGTAGAGACTGAACGTTCAGCAGCGGTAGTGATGAGAAGACCATCAACGTAAACTCGCCCCGAGAGTTCTATCTCTCATAATTGTTTAATGTTGTTGACTTGTGCATTACTAACCTTGTTACGCGCTTAAAGACCTTTGTTGTTGAAGCACAGTAACACTATTATAACAATAACACTCATAAAATAATAGAGATGATTGGATATAGATTTTCATCACAGGAAGTCAATGTGTCGATTACAGAAATGGGATGCGGTTTAAACTGACACGAAAACTGAAGTCAAGTTTAAAGGCATTTTTACCAATACGTTTGGTTTTACCAGGAGTCTTTAGAACCTATCTCACCTGCAACAGTTCTGAACAACAGAACAGTCCATCAATTTCTCCTGAGTAGACCAAATATGAGACCTACTTTTTTTCAGGTAACTTTCTTTTTCGTTGTCTTATCATCCTCTCGTGTACGTGGTGAGAGTTACAATCCATCCGTTTCATGGAGCTTAAGATTTTTATCGGCTAAAATCAGAGTTTAACACCGCTAAAAATCGGAGTTAGTCCCTTGGTTCAGCCAGCTTATGAAATAACTGACTCGATCTTTGAGTTCATCAATAATTATTACTAGTCAAAAAAACTGCTTTATAAATTGGAAAAAAACCATAAAAATTAAGTATCAGAACATCTTTTGCACACACACACACACACACACACACACACACACACTGATGACGTCACTGAGTACCGGGAACGTCATTGGCTCAGGTCAGCTGCGGGTGTACCTGAGAGAGAGAGAGAGAGAGAGAGAGAGAGAGAGAGAGAGAGAGAGAGGATGTAGTACTGTAGTTAAAAGTGACACATAACTTCCTCTTTTATATCTCTCACACTCTGTCTCACAGTATCTCTTGCACACTGTCTAAAAGTTGTCTATGTCACACGCTATCTCGCATGTTGTTTATCTCTCAAGCTATCCATCTCACAAAATTCTCTATCTCACACACGCGGTTTCTCACACTGTCTCACACGCTGTCTCTCACACGCTGTCTTTCACAATCTGTCCGTCTTTTACTCTGTCTCTCATAATTACTATCTCTTACAATCACCATCTAACTCTCACGATCTGTCATTCATACTCCTTATCTCTCTCACTCTGTCTCTCACATCCTCCATCTGTCTTTAACATTCCCCATCTCTCACATTCTCTCCATTTCCCACACTTTCTACCTTCCAGACTCTCCCTCACACTGTGTCTATCTCTTTATCTATCTATCTCCGTCACACACACACGGTATCTCACTCTCACTGTTGTTGATATCTCTCTCTCTCTCTCTCTCTCTCTCTCTCTCTCTCTCTCTCTCTCTCTCTCTCTCTCTCTCTCTCTCTCTCCATTTGTACTTTTCTGCCCATCTGTCCGTTTCTGTCTTCACCCCACCTCCCCACTTTCCAATGTTAGCCTACTTATACCACTTGTTACTTATGTTACTTATATATTTTTTGGTGTTATTATTTGTCACATTGTTACTTTTATTTATGATACAATTTTAACTTAGGTTACTTGTACTACTTCGGCTACTTATTCTTTTGATTCGGCATATTTACCTCCCCAGCTAGTATATTTACCTCCCCAGCTAGTATATTTACCTCCCTAGCTAGTATATTTACCTCCCTAGCTAGTATATTTACCTCTCTAGCTAGTATATTTACCTCCCTAGCTAGTATATTTACCTCCCTAGCTAGTATATTTACCTCCCTAGCTAGTATATTTACCTCCCTAGCTAGTATATTTACCTCCCTAGCTAGTATAATTACCTCCCTAGCTAGTATATTTACCTCCCTAGCTAGTATATTCATCTCTCCAATCTATTATACTTTCTTCCTTAGCTAGCACACTTTCCTCCCTAGCTAGTATACTTTCCTCTCCAATTAACTTCCCAAACTGGTGTTATAACGAGGTTGCCAGAGAACCAGTTGGGACGAGAAAACCTGTTGTGAGACGCTGAATGACCCGGGCACAAGTTCCATCCCGGACTCCTCAGAGATTCGTTCCAGCTCTTCTCTCTCCTCTCGTAAGGTAAAGGCAACTATACCTTGTCATGGTAAGAGTTTCACTTCCTTGTTTTCGACTCCATGCTGTAGTTTCAGATGAGCCAGTGAGAATGTGGTCTCGTATCTTCAACTTATATGGAGGGAACAGATTAATACAGTATATTAACATTGGGAAAACTCCAGACCGAGTTTAAGTATGTAGGTCAGAGCGCTTTCACATGTGCGTAAGAAGGATAGAGAGAGAAAACGAAGGAGAGAGAGAGAGAGAGAGATAGAGAGAGAGAGAGAGAGAAAGCGAGAGAGAGATGTAAAGAGAGAAAGCGAGGAGAGATGTAAAGAGAGAGAAAGCGAGAGAGAGATGCAAAGAGAGAGAAAGCGAGAGAGAGATGTAAAGAGAGAGAAATGTAAAGAGAGAGAGAGAGATGTAAAGAGAGAGAAAGCGAAGAGAGATGTAAAGAGAGAGAGATATGTAAAGGGAGAGAGAGAGATGTAAAGAGAGAGAGATATGAAAAGGGAGAGAGAGAGATATGCAAAGAGAGAGAAAGAGAGAGAAAGATGTAAAGAGAGAGAAAGCGATAGAGAGATGTAAAGAGAGAGAAAGCGAGCGAGAGATGTAAAGAGAGAGAGAGAGAGAAAGAGAGAGAGAGAAAGAGAGAGAGAGATGTAACATAAAGCAAGTGACAGTATTTACCCATAGATCACAACACTCGCTATATTCATCTTAGGGGTTGGTATGCTGGTGGGGAGTAAGGGAGGACCACCACCTCCAGCTGACCGTTTGACCCACCGCCTCTGGGTAGAGCCTCCTGACGTCTCAGGGCTGGGGTAGGGAGGGTGGGGTATATAGACTGGCGAGGGTGTGGGAGAGCCCCAAGAGGAGCGTAGTGTGTTTGGGATCTCTGGCCTGAGAGGTGAGTGTGCAGGCCGTCAACAAGCGTCTTGTGAGGTGTGGTATTAAGTGCATTGGTCAGAACACGTGTGTTGTAACACTTGTCTTGTAAAGTATCTATGACTGGTCTCACTAGAGTCGACGACTGATAGAAGATCCGGTTGTTGAGCCATTTGTGTGTGTGATTGACTTTAATATGTCATTAATTTTTCGTGTACCACATGATGTGACATATTATAAATGGTATAGTGATGCTACGTACACATTGTTTACTCATATCAGCTTCAAATGTTTGTACCTGTACTTGTGTTAGTACCTGGACTGTTTTTTTTAATAAATTAAATAAATACAAAAAAATTATAGAAAGAAAATGATAAAACATTTAATACTTGAGACTCTTCTGCGACTGACTCTTGGCAAAGAAATGCGATACCACCAAATACTTTGCTGATCTACAACAGCAATATACAGTAGTGTGCAGTACAGAGTGGAATGTTGTCAGTTGTGTATACGGGTTTACTCAGAGCACACTGGCTCAAAACGCCTTAATAGTGTCTTGCGATATATAATACGTGTTATATCACGAAAAATTAAATAAATTCGTAAATAAGATTATTTATGTCGATTAGAGGAAGTGGAAGTGTTGAGATTTAGTGATGTTCCTCAGATGGGTGGAGGTGTGTTGGTGAACTTGGCGGCGCTGTGTGTGCTGGTGGCCGGTCAGGGCGACCGACAGCCTCAGGCCATCTCCACGGTTACCGGATACGACACCTTCAAACCTCAGTAAGTTCTTGACATTTTTGTCGTTTTTGTCAAATAATTACACTGAACAGTAGGAGTTTTTATTAAATCCTATAATATTATTAAAATTGATTGTGATTAAATATTATTATTTAAAGGAAACTTCATTTTGTCTGTAACTGTAGTGAATGTCATCGATGAATTGAAACATTGTCATTGTTGTTTTGTATTGTCGTGATCCCACATTACAGTTTCCGTCAGCTTTTAAGACAGTAAAGTGTACGAGCCCAACGGGAGGAAGGATGGAATATAACCAAACACTGACTCCTTGTATTCCTCTTACTGTTCAGATGCTCGGGCGGGTTTAGTGTACGTAAAGCTGTCCCGGCCACTTACAAGGCCCCAACCATCCTCAACTTTCAGGTACGTGTACGTTTTTTGTTGTGAGTGAGGGGCGAGCTGTGGCTGTGCGCTCAGGCAGTGTGTCAGTGAGGGTGCTTCATGTGTTCTACTACTGCCCTCTGCCTCCCTGGTACTTGTTGTCGTTCCAAGACCCATATCGCTTAACTTAAAGTGGATAAAATAATTATTTAAACATGATTTTCCTTGGCTATAAAAATATGAAGACATGTAACAGTTCTCTGTAGCTGTTTGTAGTGCTACAGTACGAGGTGAAATTTTAAACACCCGGTGAGGTTAGTGGTTGAGGGAGAGGCAAGAGAAAGCACACCGGGAGACTGACCCCAGAATAACGGTGACCAAATCAACTCGCTCATCACCTCCACTGTTCTATCCCGGTACATGTACAGTACGTCGTATTGTCTTTAATAATACAGAGTTCATGACCTGTAAGTGTGTAGTGACAGTTGTTGCTCAGTGGCGGCGGACGTGACTACTGAGGACTGACTATACCTGTGTTGAGGACTAGTGTTAATTAAGATTCACACCTGTAATGAGGGGTGACCTTCACACCTGTGGCAAGGACTAGTGTTAATTAACATTCACACCTGTAGTGAGGGGTGAACTTCACACCTGTCAAGGACAAGTGTTAATTAATTTTCACACCTGTGGCAAGGACTAGTGTTAATTAATATTCACACCTGTGCCAAGGACTAGTGTTAATTAATTTTCACACCTGAAGTGAGGGGTGACCTTCACACCTGTCAAGGACAAGTGTTAATTAATTTTCACACCTGAAGTGAGGGGTGACCTTCACACCTGTGGCAAGGACTAGTGTTAATTAATATTCACACCTGTGGCAAGGACTAGTGACGATTAATATTCACACCTGTAGTGAGGACTATTTGGGACTAATCTTCACACTAGTGATGACGACACGTTATAAGAACATAAGAAGAACATAAGAATGGAGGAAACTGCAGCGGGCCTATTGGCCCATACTGGGCAGTCCCGTTCACACCCAACCCCTATTGCTCATATAAGCATCCAACCTATGTTTGAAGCTATACAGCGTATTCGAGTTAATGATGATATTTGGTAACTTGTTCCATTCATCCACTACTCTGTCTCTAAACCAGTGTTTACCTATTTCGCGCCTAAATCTAAATTTGTCTAATTTAAAACAATTGTTACGAGTTCGCTCCTGGTTGGATAGTTTGAGTACCTTTGTAATGTCCCCTTTATTTAGCCCTGACTTCCATTTATACACCTCTATCAGGTCGCCCCTCGCTCTACGTCTCTCGAGGGAGTGCAAATTAAGATGCTTTAACCTGTCTCTATACTCAAGGTTCCTAATGCCCGGGATTAGTCTTGTCATTCTCCTCTGAATTCTTTCCAAGGATTCTATATCCACTCTGTAATACGGTGACCAGAACTGAACTGCGTGATCCAGGTGTGGTCTCACAAGGCAAGATACAGTTTTAGGATGACCTCGTTAGTCTTGTAACTAACACTCCTTTGTATGAACCCAAGTACTTTATTAGCCTTGTTACGAGCAAAAACACATTGTTTACTTGGCTTAAGGTTCCTACTTATCATTACTCCTAAATCTCTCTCGCAGTCGGATTTCTCTATGGCATCGTTGTTCATCTGGTATCTGGTTTCCCTGTTTACATCTCCTATACTGAGCACTTTACATTTGTCCACGTTGAATTTCATCTGCCATTTTTCAGACCATTCGAAGAATTTGTTTAGATCTTCCTGTAGTCTTGCGGAGTCCTCGTCAGATTTAATAACACGTCCTATTTTAGTGTCATCAGCAAATTTACTTATGTTGCTGTCTATGCCGATATCTATGTCGTTTATGTATATAATAAATAATAATGGTCCAAGTACTGAGCCCTGGGGAACTCCACTAGTGACGTTGCTCCAATGGGACTTAGTGCCGTTAATGCTCACTTGCTGTTTCCTGTCCTGTAACCACGCCCTAATCCATTTCAGGATGCCATGTGCTTCTACCTTTCTAATTAGTCTTTCGTGGGGGACTCTGTCGAAGGCTTTGCTAAAGTCGAGATATACCACATCATAATTGTGCCCTTCGTCCACCGATTCGAAAACTGATGAAAAGAATGTTAATAGATTAGTTATACATGAACGCCCGCTTGTGAAGCCATGTTGGGAATCATTGATCGAATAGAGTTTGAAATGAATGATTCAAGTAATTTGCCTACTATTGATGTTAGGCTGATTGGGTGGTAGTTAGAGGATAGTGATCTATCCCCCTTCTTGAAAATCGGTATTACATTCGCTATCCTCCAGGATTCTGGTACTACACCTGTATTTAAGGACATGTTAAACAACTTTGCTAAGGGCATACTAAGCTCTTCCTTACATTCCTTTAATACTCTGGCAAATATCTCATCGGGACCAGGTGACTTATTAGGCTTTAGTTTGTCTATTTGCTTACTAACATCGCTACTAGTCACTGCTATCTCGCTTAATTTGTTTTCTTCACTATCTCTGAATAGAGTCGGTGCCTCGGGTATCATGTTTACATTTTCGGCGGTGAAAACTGTTGAAAAATATTTATTCAAATTATTGCTCATTTCTCCGTCGTTGTCAGTGAGCTCGCCGGTATCTGACCGTATTGGTCCAATCTTTTCTCGTGTTTTAGTTTGATACATTTGGTAGAATCCTTTGGGGTTTGTCTTCGCCTCCCTTGCTATCCTTACCTCATTATTCCTCTTGGCTTTCCTTATCTCGGTTTTAACCCGACGCGCCAATACCTTATATTAATCCTGGAGGTAAATTTTGCCATGATTTATCCTTCTACCTATAGCCTTCCTTTGGCCAATGATGTTCTTTAAATAATTATTTATCCATTTAGGGTCATTGTTGTCTGATCTGAGTTTTTTGTATGGTATGTTCTGCCTTTGTGCATTAAGTAACTCATTATTTAAATTGTCGTGGAACTCGGCTATCTCAGATCTCGTTACCAGGTTGGTGTCATCTGTCAGGTTCACGCCCAAGCGCGACACCCCTTCTCTCAGCTACCTCTTTAAACTGTCAAAGTTTGCGCTTCTGAAATCTGGTACTTTGGTGGAATTTTCCTTACGTCTACCCTGAAAATCTAACTGGAATCTAATTTCTTAGTGATCGCTGTTTGCAAGTTCGTTCCCTACCTCGACATTGCTAATGAGGTTTTCTCTGTTCGACAGAACTAAATCGAGTATATTACTACCCCGGGTGGGTTCGGTTATATGTTGACTTACAAATCAGTCTTGGATCGTTTCGAGAAAATCCTCTGATTCTGAGTTACCCGTAAGGTCAGTCCAATCTATTTGGCCAAGGTTAAAGTCGCCTACTGTACAGACTTTGTTGTGTATCGAAGCCCTGCGCATTTCATCCCAGATAAGTCTCTCATTGACTCTATCAAGATTGGGAGGTCTATATATTACTCCTGTGATTAATTTTTCCCTACCGTCGATTAATTCTATCCAAATTGTTTCTGTATTCCGCTCAGATTTTATTTCCTTATTTATTTCACACTTCAGATTATCCCTGACATAGATTGCTACTCCGCCTCCTTTCCTGGTCTGCCTATCGTTATGGAACAATTTGTAACCCGCAATTTGGTATTCGACCGGTAACTCACGTGAGTCTAGATTGATCCATGTTTCAGTGAATGGTATTATGTCGATTTTTTCGGTACATACTAAGGTCCTAATATCATCCATTTTGTTTCTCATACTTCTACTGTTCGCGTAGTAGACATTTAAGTTAGTCGTGTTCTGAGTCCTCCCTTTACCGCGTTTAGGTTTAAACTCCATGTCTGCTTTAGTTTTGTCGTCATTCCTAACACTATTTCCCTGTAATCTTTCACTTTGCTTACCCTCTCCCACTGCAGTCTCCTCCACCCCCGTGCCCTCATGTTCCCCTAGCAGTTTAAAGACTTCGATACACACTGGTGGTGAGGAGTGATCTTCAGAGTGGTGATGATGGTGTGCGACGATCACAATAACGGCTGTGTGAGTTTGTGGTTGGTTGTCGTGATATCAACGACACAGTGGCGGAGATGAGTCAGTTTATAGCATCTTACTGTTCTTATGTTCTCTTGCATTTCCCCAGCAATAATGGTAAAGAAAATAGCAGCATAATGCCACACCATATACTTGTCTAGAAAAATTGAAAAGTTGTACATTTATTTCATAAAAAGCTTCAGACAGTGACGTAGCGAAGGGGAGTATTGGAGGGGTATGACAGCCCTCCAATAATTCTACTCTTGGATACAACCGTACAGGCTACGGGTACAGAACTAAAAAAAAAGGCCATCGGAAACAAAAACAGTAAATTCGGGCAGAATCTTGTAAATTACGCAAATGGTGCCTACAAGGGTGGTTATTATGTAAACTTCTTTAAAACAAGCAGAACTATATCTCATAAATAACGCTAAATTGTGTGGGTACCTTTAAGTTCTTGTGGGTATACACAAGTGCTTACACGCCCAATATTCACTTTTTTAGCGACGTCACTAGTTTCAGATAACCAGTGATATAAACAATGAGATAAGAACATATCTGAAGTGTCAATAAGAGTAGTGAGTGGGAAGGTAAACCATAACACTGCTGTTCTGAAACTGTGTATGTCTCGTGGTTATGTGTAAGATCTGGTTTATGGATATAGTACACGGTGGCAATGCCTAAGTATGTTAGTATGGTATTAAAGATTCTTATAATTTCTTCTTTATAAATATATGCAAGAAGTCAATTCAGTATGCGTATATTTTTGTTATATACAGTATGTCTGATACGAAGCACACTATAGGATTTTTTTTTCCAGGAGAAGAAATCATAACAAATCGACGAAGATTGGGTGACAAGGACCAATCGGATAGCCACCAAGGATCCCGGTCCTCGCAGCTCTCGATCTCTTCCTCTGGGGTCACCTAAAATCTGTCTTCTACCAAGATCGTCCAAAAACCATTTACGTGACCCCATAGTGAGGACCGGGAACCTTGGTGGCTATCCGAATGGTCCTCGTCACCCAATCTTCGTCGATTTGTTATGATTTCTTCTCCTGTAAAAAAAAATTCCTATAGTGTCCTTCGTATCAGTCACTGTAATACAACATCAACTACCAATACTTATGTCTAAACAGAAAAAAAATACATCGGTGCTAAAATAGCGACAAGTATTCTTACTATTCATTACAATTTATCACGTCATATAAAGAAAAACGGTCGAAAGCAACAAGGAAAATTCGTTATTTTCAGGTGTTCGCAAACAATTTCTCACCAGACGTCTGTTGAGTCAGTGACAGAGTTGCGTTGGCTTCAGGTGCTTAGAAATTACTAATACATGTAACACCAACTAGAGACTCGACCTGTTTACCGTTTATCACCAGAACAAGCGAGTCGGTCCTCTTCCTGGTGACGTATCCTGGAACCTTTACTGTATGACTGCTGCCTCGCCCCTCCACACCAGTCACTCCATTAACGACTGATCACCAAATAAATTCGAAAATATGGGAGGTGTGGTACAGCCAATTATAAGCCTCCAAACGACTATGCACGTGGCCATTTATACATTTCTATGATGAATACTGAGGCGTGACCTTAAAGAAAGCGGTATGTTAGGTTAAGTTAGAAAACGATAGACACGAGTTAAAATGGACCGGATTAGGGTTAAGTTGGATTTGATTATCAGTATTAGGTTAGATTAGATTAAGGATAAGTCACGTTATGTTAGACCAGAATAGGGCTATATTGATTTAAATTTTAGTTAGATTAAGACAGTTACATTTTGTAATACAAGCAAACGAGACTGACTATTAGCAATACACAGGAGGTGTTGACCAACCTGGGAGGATGGTCACGCAGCGAGAACGACTTCAAGGCTCCCTGCACCGGCGCTTACTTCTTCACCTTCCACGCTGTGTCCAATAACAGTGGCGATTTTACGTGAGTAATGAGTCATGTATTAATAGCACTGGAGTCTTACTGCCTGGGAGGAGGGGGAGGCCTTCCATGTGTCCCCTCTACTTCCTGGGGTCTTCTTCTGCCTCCAAGGTGTAGTACACGGTTAATATATTCTTCTCGCTGTTCGGTCTACATACGTTTTCACTTCTGACTTCAACATACAATACTCAATGTTTTTTTTTATTTGTTTTTTTATTATAAGATGAGCCCACCAGGGCACAAATCACTGACCCACATCGTGGCCTGGGGAGAAATATAATAATAATAATAATAATAATAATAATAATAATAATAATAATAATAATAAAGTATATAAATTATAATATAAAAAATATAAGATAATAATAATAATAATAATAATAATAATAATAATAATAATAATAATAATAATAATAATAATAATACTGTAGAGCCACAAATAAATATGAAAAAAAAAAAAAATCAAGAGTGAGAAACGATATATTGCATGTATGTTGTGTTGTCAAAGTAAGAAAAACAATTGAGACCCTGCAATTGTGTGTAAATGAGGCAGAAAGTCAGATCAGCAACCTGGGACTTGGTCACAATTTTCGTGATGCCATATGGCAGCAGGGTCTACCATTAGACAACACATTATGCTTCCAATATCTTCCCAGGCGGTAGTACCTCCCTGTTTGGTAGCTTCCTACTGCCTGTTCTGTGAAAGGCTACATTTTTTGTAAAATTTATGCATATAAACGTAATGTTTCACATCATAAGAGCACACACATTGGTGAGAAACTATTTATCTGAGACAAAGAGGCATAATACTTTCAGAAGAGACTATAGTTTCCTAAAGGATCGCCAGAATATTTTTATTTTCTTCTTGATGCTACTTATCTGAATTACACCCCAGGTCACCAGCTGCCCCAAATATGTTTATTAAATTACTTTATCCAATTAGAATCTGTTGACTTTTAGAGGTTGGGAATTTGTGAACCTGATGAACAAAACAATGTGTGCACATCATGGGCTTACAACATCGGAAGTCGAAATTTAAGGGGATGTCGCCCCACACAGCTCGTTAATCATTATTCATCTCTCTCAGGTTGGCTCTGATGAAGGAAGGCAAGTATCAGGTGACGGCCTACGGCAGCAAGGGCGACTACCAACAAGGCTCCAACTCAGCCCTCCTCTTCCTCAACGCCGGAGAGAAGGTCTACCTGGAGCTACAGCAGGGCAGCTTGTACGAGCACCCGTATGACGAGGCCTACACCTCCTTCAGCGCTTTCCTTGTCGAGCAATTTTAACAAGGATAGGGTATTATGGGAGTACAGGGGGATGCACTCAGATAACTTACTGACAGTGTTGTGTAGTGAATGGCAGGACTATGTATATCTTTCTAGTGGAAGAATAGATATGTCAGCATTATATTTATGGTATTTATACAACTGGTTAAGTTATTGGTATGATTGTTGCTGCAAATGAACAATAAACATCATTTTCTAAAATAAACTATTGTATTTTACTTCCTTGGGAGTGCGTTCTCTTTGGTGTTTATGGACAGTGTATAAATACCGAACACACACACTTCAATACTCTGTAACATTCAATGCCATAATACCAAAATCACTGAGGTCTGATCAACACCCTTTGTGGCCTCTACTCTCTAATCCTTTTTGCGCTACCGCTCACAGGATGAGTATGGGGTGCACAATAAACTAGCTGCTGTCCGCGACAAAGTTCAATTCAATTCGGGTGGTTCTCTGCCTTCATATTGCTGTGTAATCATTTACGTCCCTCGTTTCTGTTTTCAGATATATGGTAAAGTAATATTATATTGCAGAGGTGAGCGTCATACAGTGTTTGTTAGAAAGCGTTCCCTGACGTCGTCATTTCTACAGTATGAAGTCTATAAGATTTTGCGTTCTTTAATCTAATCTTGGGTAAGTTTTAGTTTAGGAAATTGTCCAATATTCCATTTCTTTTTCTGGTTAAAACACAACTTTTACAATTGCTTATGAGTAAACTTATACTGTTTCTGGAACATTCTCGCAGCCCCTGTATGACATCACGCTTAGCTGACGGACAACACGGTGGAAAGATCCAAGGCCTTGACAGTTCTCGCTGCCACGCCTCGCTTACCTCTCACCTCTGTATGGGTTGTACAGACATCTCGTATCAAATGAACTTTCTTGCTCGTATGAACTACACATTTTCCTACATTATTCTGTACAAGGACATGGTAATATTTCTCTTAATTAAATATTATGTAGACACATCGGGTGAATAAAAGTGGCACGGAACTTTTGTCAAACGATTTATAAGTAAATCTTCTCTGTCTCACACATCGTGCAGGCCGCTGTGCTAACTGGTCGGTATTTTGATAATTAAGCCCCTTTAAAATAAACTCATTTTGTGTCCACTTCACATGACTTAAGATGTTATGTTACACATTATACTTTAAACAGCTCTGATGAAGCAATACCCCACCTTACCTACCTTGATAATAACGTATCTTATACTTACACAGGTACTGTATCTGTAGTCGGGTTCAACTCAAGTCTAAAATTATTTCTGCAGTAAAAATGGTACACAAGACTTATTACAGCGGAACAGGTTAAAGAAATATTAATGTGACATAAAAGTGTAAGTTCACTGTTTTACACTTTCTTTTATCTCCTACACTTGAACCCAAACTTTTAACACCAGCGCGCCACTCTTAGTAATGGCGACTATAGGGTGATCTAGATCCTCCGGGTGGCGAGGATCTACTAAATGGACTAATTAAGAAAAACTCAGATTTTTCCTTAGGTCAAAATGAAGTGCTGTATATCGAACTAGAAGAAGAGTTTGTTCCCTGCTGAGAGGAAGCTTTTACCTCTTATTATATAATATCTTTTATGCTTCCTCTGTTACCAGTAACCTTTTCCCATGGAAGTTCAAATATATCAAGTTAATGTCAAACTGTCTAATAATGATAATGGCAACGAGTTTAACGTTACGAGAACATTGGTCAGTAACTCGCAAGGTTCTCATGTAGTGAAATATGAGGCCATAGTTATTTTTGAATCCAGGGAACCACAGATATTAGGTCTTAAGTTTCAGTTGCTGAAGCCTAGAATAATTACTTCTGTAGAATATGACCTTATAAACGGTAGTTAATAAGGCTTTAATGTCGTGGTCACTGACGAATGGCATCACTACTATTGAGGCTGTCGGGTTGGGTCGCCGCTCGTGATTGACGTATTTTATGGAGTTAAAGCCTAACCTATAATGCCGGTTATTAGGAAGCAATTGACTTAATGGGGAAATGTCTACAAACATATATGTAAAAATATCATAAATTATATTAAAACTTAAGGAACTCCTTAACGCGTTTATGTAATAATGAATCGTGAGTGTTCACATTATTATGATCCCATCACAGTTGATATAATATTCCCCAAATAAAAACGAAATGGAAAGAGTAAGATATACCAAGAAATTATGAAAAAAAAATAGTTACTACTCCAGCGTTGTCCGTTTTCTTTCACGAGGAAATGCATCACAAAGTATTATAGAAGGAGTAACTTATAAATTTTGAGGTAAATATATTTTATTTAATACGGGTAATATAGTAATATTGTTCTTAACGGACGTAAAATCATGACCACATATATTGGAATTCGACAAGAATGGGATATTTCCAATTTATTAGATATTGTTACTAAATTATTCCACGTAATCTAACCTCACCTAAATATAATAAAGTTTAGATAAAGCTCAAGTTTAGGAAGGTTTGGTTAGGTTAGGTTTTTATGGAGAAGCCTTGCAAATATCAGACTCATACGTCAATCCTCATAAGGGGTCTTTGGTGTAGTCCTACCAACCCCAGTGCAGGAAATTTTTTAGATGTTATTACAATTGTTATATTTGGAAATTTTCTTCTTCTACGTCATTTTTCGGCCCGAATGGACATTTTGTAATCTGAATTGACAGCTGTAAAACATTAAGTGACAAAAATAATAACAAATGACGCAGGAGACATACAGTATACTTTGAGTTCGAGCACTCACTCGGACACTCAGTACAGTGAATGCTCGAACTCAAAGTATATGTCTCTTGCGTCATTTGTTGTTATGACCTTCGCACGTCACCACCAACTGAAAACTGTCCATTAGGGCCGAAAAATGCTGTAGCTATGAATCAACACTTAAAAAGCAAATTCAGTATCAGGTTATACAAGCATCTCATAGCTTCAGTCTTCAACAAGACCATAGTTCAGTGTGAAGTCTTCTGGCATTATGGGAGACAGTCTAGGCTCTACTCTATGTCAAAGTTACTATTGTTTTCATAAAGTAAATAACAAAATGAAACAATATAACTAATCCATGGCCTCAGTCTTCTTTATATCCAGTACTATCAAATTTACTTCACATGGATAACCGATGTACAAGGTTCTAGAATGTTCAACAGTACCATGAAACATACACAAGTACTCTCATGCCGCCTATAACCTGTCTACACAACGAAGTACTGTATTATTTACATATATAAATAACTGAGAGTAAATTAAACAAACTGACACTAGATACATGATATGCCTCCCTGTACCTTCTGCTTCTATATTTTACTGGTGTGACCTAAAGTGCTATGGTAGTGAGGGTGGGGCTGATTGTGATAGCGGCAGTAATGGTGGTGATGGTGATAATGGTCTTCATGATGGTGATAATAATGGTAATGCAGATGGTAGTAATAGTGGTGATGATGTAACAGTATTTCTAATGGTGATAGTAGCAATGGTAATTACAGCTGTATAATGGTAATGGTGGTGAGGATAAACGTGGTAACATACATACATACATACATACATACATACATACTGCTACAGATCCCATTACTCAGTATCTCTTGCATTCAGTCTCTTAGTTCTCCCTGTCTTTATTTTCTCATTTCACTCTTGTTTCTAAAGACTCTAAGAGATCATATAATAACTGTGTTATTTTCATTGGTCCACAACCATAAATATCAAGCTATTTTACAGGTATGTTGTTACACATGCTGCGTAAAATAGTTCCGTACGATCTCTCAACTATTCGTCTTTTTCAGTTTGATTAAATGTCTGTACATATACAAACATGCATTCGGGTTTATGTTTATCTCTGTTCTCAAAATTTTACGAAAAGGATTACGATGTACACTAGTAGGTGATATACATATGAATGTACAGTACAAGTTGGCATGATGACACAGGTACATAATGTGAATTACCTTGCGCAACTCTCCCTCCCAGGGGCCTCCTTCCTAACAGTCTGGCAGTACAGCGGCGCGTGTCTCTTTATCAATGCCCCCCACTCTCTCCCCTCCCCTGTACACAATTCACCAAGAGACGCCCCTTAATCCTTCACCCTCTCTGCTATACCTCACTCACCCTCATATACATTAACAGTGATTTACTTCCTCTCTCTCATCCTTCAACTCTATACCTCAGTACCGTATCAAACTGCAGGGGTATGAACAGTGCTGCAGGATACAGTGGTTCTAGACACAGAAAGTAAAGTAACTGGGCTTTCACCAGTGTTTGTTGATAAAGAGTGAATTATAATGACATAATACAAGGTGTCATGGCGAATGTCAATCACAGTAGACTATAGCGATGTAAACTTTGGTTACGACATGAAGATGGACAACTAGTGTATGAATTAAGGAGGTGGTCAATTAGATCAAAATATTGTAGCCCAGCGGACTAAAGACTGAAATAACGTCACAGCCCATCACGTAGTGTTGTATGGTATTCAGTACTTATATAAGGCCATCCGCACTGAGTATTGGTAATGTGTGAGTTGTCATAACTTGCCAAAGGTAAATATATTCCAACTAGAGAGCATAGAGTGAGTTGATGCATTTATTGAGCCCAATGTGATGGTGTGTGTTACAGCAGAGCTAGGGGGTGTTAAGATGAAGTAACGGGCAGGAGTACAACCTCTAGGGCAGGGGTTCTCAACCAGGGGGGAATTTCCCCCCTCAGGTTTTCAGGGGGAACTGATACTAATATGGAAAAAATAAAGGATTTTCAGTATTATATGCATATTATTTGGAATGCACTTTTTGAGGCAGACAATCTTGGAAAGGAGGGGGGAATGACATTCTGACATATGGTGAAAGGGGTGCATGGGGCAAACAAGGTTGAGAACCACTGCTCTAGGGGTTTGCTACGTACAATAGGCATAGACGGAGGACAGGAATAATAATGTTAAGGCTAAAAATTTTATAATAAGCAGAGGTTAGCCATGCAGCCTCTGATGTGATAGCGGAGACGACAACAGAACTCCACCCCACGATCATGATTAGAAATGTAAGATTCACAGTGTAAAGAAAAAAGTCGTCTGACGCACTTAGTTCCTAGAGAAGCAGGATCTGTGCTTTATCAGCGGTAGAGGTAAGGCACAATTCTATTTTCATGTTGATAATACGACTTGACAGCCAAGGATGTCCTTTATGACAATCTTCTGTATGATTAGTGTCTTTACTAA